TACAAACAAAATGGATTAAAACTTAGGTTTTTTTTTTCTTTCGTCTCTGTTTAAGTAACGCATATATATATATAAATTTGTTCTCCTATGTTGTTTATTTGTATTTATGTATAGAAAAAAAAAGCGAATACATTTTCAGTTACACAGCATGAAAGTAAAATGAAAAATGAACGATTGATTGCATTATTTTAGTCATTTATGAACAAATTAGATATGCTTATATGTATAACACTTGAATTGTGTAGAAAGAATATTGAAGATTCATGCTGTGTTGGTTACTTTCGCGAGAGGCGCGATCGTTTGTCAAGATAGAGAAGTAGAGCGATAGATGATGCGAAGAATAGAAAGGAAAAATAAATAACCCGATATCGAATTCCATTCTAGCATCAGTTAATTCGCAATAGTGCTGTTAGTCGAAGAAATTTTCCAGATTGTAGTTCTTTTCATATCATTAACCATAATTTGTAACAATGAATTCAAGAAAAAAGAAATAATAATATTATCTAGTAATAGTACTAATTACCTAAAACTGTAAGTTATATATATTCAGTTGTTTTTTACGACTGTATTTTGTAGATTAATCGGATGTGAGTTAGTGTTATTGTTAATGAATATAAAGTTTAGTGATAGGTACTGTTTTTTTAGCCGTGAGCATGCATCCACCTGCTCATCTAAGGTCAGTAACACACGCCACTATCTTTCTTTTAGATAGATTCTATTTTGATGATGATGAGAATTGAAAGTTAAATAGCTCTTAGTTGTCACGCTATTAAAAAAAAAAAAAGAAGATCATCAATGTTAAAGATTAAAAAGAATCTTATAGCATACAGAACAGTAGGAATAACAGAAAAAAAAATACTCTGTCAAATCTGTGGTTTTCTTCCTACAGATGTCGTTCCTTTCTTTTTCGATCATTAATGTTTGTCAAAATCGTTCACGAGAGGATATGTTATTTATAAAAATGGCGTCATACAAACCAATCCTACGTAAAGAAATAAACATGACATGAAATATAGTCTCTTGACTATTGTTTTTTATTTTGGAAAATAATAATCGAGTCAAGTCACATTGACTCGTCATTGATTTGTTTTTTTTACTGATTCATAAAAACTATTTAGTGATATTTTCAAGTAAGTAGATAACATAACAAAATTTTTTTTTAAAAAAATTTTTATTGACGTCTTAATAAATAGCGAACAGTAATGGCTACAGATTCATCTCAAAACAATAATCAAATAAATTTAAACGAAAATAAAATTTTACTTGATAAAACAACAATGTATATGGATGAACAAGGCAAAGAAGCAACAGTACCAAAATCAAACGAAGAAACAAATGTTACAATACCATTATTATCAAATAATGAAACATTAACACGTAAAAGTTCATTATCATCAACGAATTCAAAAACAAGTAATTGTCCTGATATATGTCGAATATGTCATTGTGAAGGTACAAAAGATGAACCATTAATATCTCCATGTTTATGTTTGGGTACAATGCAATATTTACATCAATCATGTTTACAACGTTGGATTAAAAGTGCCGGTGTTAAATCCTGTGAATTATGTAAATTTGAATTTATAATGCATTCAGAAATAAAACCATTTAAACAAGTATTAAAAAAAATTTATTATGTTTTTTGTTATTATTTTTTATTTATTTTAGTGGCAAAAATTAGAAATGAATGTTGTTGAAAGACGAAAAATAATGTGTTCTGTTGCATTTAATTTAATTGCTGTTACTTGTGTTCTTTGGTCACTTTATGTTTTAATTGAAAAAACAAGAGAAGAAGTTAAAGCTGGAAAACTTCGTAAATTTATTTTGATAGATTTTATTCTTTGAAATACACTAAATGTTTATTTATTTATTTTTTTTTTTTTTTCTAGAATGGCCATTTTGGACTAAATTATTTGTTGTAGCCATTGGATTTACGGGAGGATTGGTAAGAAAAGAATTGAAATTATAGAGAATTTTAATTTGAAATTTTGTTGGATTTCTTTTTAGGTATTTCTTTATGTTCAATGTAAAATGTATCTTCAGGTAAAATGAAATATTATGAATAATAGACTTTATTTTTTATTCATATTTATGGTTCGTTTAGCTTTGTATTCGTTGGCGACAATTTAATCAACGTATAGTTATTCATTCAATTAGTGAACAACGACAACATGAAGCTTCATCTTCTGGTAAATAAACTTATTGTTTTTTTTTTTATTAATAGAAAATTCTTTTTGTTTTTGCTGTTTTATTTTTATTAGGAATAAAAAGTCCAGGTAATAATGATAATACTGGCAATTGTATAGTAACGGTACTTGATATAAATGATTTACCTCCATTAAATTCCAATACATCATTAACAACAATAGTTGATAATAGTTCAAGGGATTCGGCTTTTCCTAATTTATTAACCATTGATCGTAATCGACGTCATGAAAATAATAATAATCGAAATGTTTTACATCGATTTTTAATATTTCATCGATCGGATCAATCTCAAACATAAAATATCTTTTTTTATCTGTTATATTTTTAATTTATAGAAGTATATATTTATATAAATAGTGTGTGCGTCTTCGAATCTCAAATATTTCGTTATGGTAAAGATTTTAAAACAGTGAGCCCTATTATTTTTTATTCTCTAACTAACATGTTCATGTATAAAAAATTTCCAAAATTGATATTTTCTAGTCATATTTTTTAGCACAAAGAAGAAAGAAAAACATCCTTTTGTTCCATTGTTCATATCCTTACGATGTCATTTTTCTCTTGATGTTGTCTTTGTCTCTTTCAAAATAACTAACAGCTTATGCTTTTTATTTCAATTAATTCCTATGTACTGTTGTTTTTATTGTGCTATTGCTCTAATTTTAAAAACTATCATAATAATAAAAGATAGGATCAAATATTATAACCTTTTTTGTTTTTTTTTTCTTAGGAAACGCTTTTTCTCGAATATCTATTCCCTATATTAGCGTATCATGACTATGACAATGACTTCATTGTATTACTGTTAGCACATAATATTGAATATTGACATTTGAAGTATAAGTAATTGTAGTTTATTTGAAGAGAAATAAAATTGATATGAACAGAACGTATTTAGTATCCTACTGGTAAAGCATGAAAAGTCTTGAGATGAAACATAAGAAATAATATGAATTCATTCTTCTCTATATTGAATGACGCGATATTCTTAACTGTTTTTAGAAAAGAAAGCTGTCAATCCCAATTGATAATATTGGATCATTGAATTCATTTAAGATAAGGCATCGCATGTAAACTTTCGTATCAGCAATTGGATCTAACCGATGTCTGTTTCGAATCAGTCACTCGACACCATACTTAATGAATAATAGTGTATATGATTTAGCATTAGCACTGGTCTTCTGCTCATAGTTGCATTAAGCGAAACTGTCTTGAGAATATTATATATACCAATACTAGATATGTGTGAGACAAAGACAAGTAGAAAAGCAGTTGCCAGGCTCGAACTTGGAATAGGTGTACAGCAGGTCTACCGAGACTATGACTGGCATGAGATTGAGGCCGAAACAACTTAATCTCGCATATATCTAGTGAGTACCTGTCAAACAAATGATATTTCTTCCTTCGAACATTTTCCTATCGATAGGTTTTAACTTCATAAAAATGGGAGACCTACAACTCTTGGTTGTAGAAATAATTTTCATTATTCATTTGGTAGTATTTGGTCTTGTTGAAATGAAAAATAATTAATTTTTACTTTTTTCGTTTTTTCTTAGATACGACTATGGATCGAAAAATGATGGATGTATTGTTTACAAGTCAACGTAATGAATCTGATGATTACTATGCAATTCTTGGCTGTGATGAACTTTCAAATGTGTGTATTATATTGCATTTCTATTTTCTGTTTTGTCTACGATTATTTTTTAGAAAGATCAAATTCAAACTGAATATCGTATTCGAGCACTTCAATTACATCCAGATAAAAATTTAGATGATCCAAAAGCAAGTAAGTATCATAAAAAATTTTTTAATGTTTTGCCTAATTTAATAGAATTTTCTTAGTGGAACAATTTAAACAACTTCAAGAAGCTAAGGATGTTTTATGTGATGATATTAAACGTAAAGCATATGATAATTGGCGCAATAGTCATATAAGTGTACCATGGAAAACATGGAATTCAATCAATGAACGAAGTCAACCGGTAAGAAAAAACAATAGAAAAAAAAAACACAGCTGCTCGTTTTCTCTTTTCAAATACTTTTTAATGAGACTTATTCAATCTTTTTCACGTTTAAGTAAAATATAACATCAAAAGAACATGGAGAGTATACGTAATCGCCTACGGTCACTCTATTCGAACAGAAAAAAAAACAACAATAATCATCATTTTCTTTACTATCTCATTTTTCATTCATTTTCATCTGTCCGCCCCACTGATCGAACAAGTTTTTACATTCATTCCTTCTTTTTTTTTCTTTTCTCTGTACACAAAATAACATGACGAAGAGAATATCACATATACTGTTGAATAGAGAAATAAAAGTACACAATTGAATTAAGTTTTAATCCATTTTGTTTGTG